AGATTCAGTAGTAAGAAGAGACTTGTTTGATGAACTCTCTTGTCTCAGTGTCCTCAGTAATAGGGTAGTTGAATAGGAAGGTAGTTTTAATCTTGCTTGTATCCTTTGGGAGGAGAGGTATGGTGGTGAAAAAGTTATTGGTGAGCAGCTTGAAGGTGTAGTATTTTCTGAGCTAGGAAACAACTTCAGCAAGTGGGATAGTAGAGGTGGCTTGGTTGAATGTAAAGAACTTGTGCACTTTGTGGTTAAGATCTTGGTAGGTGGTAGGTAGTGGTTTTTTGGAAGGTGGCAGGTCGAAGTAGGTATCTAGGATTTTAGTAATGGTGTAAATGTCAGCAAGTTTTCTTTTGTATACAGCTAGGTGTTGGAGAGAGAATCGGTAAGAGATCGGAAATAGTTGGCGCAGGCTGGCTATAAGGTCATTGTAGTGGGGAGGAAGTGGAGGAAGTTTTGCAAAGTATGTCTCTGGAAGTTCTGAGAATTTAAAGATTCTTCTTAGAGCATTTACTATAGCTCTAGTGTGTGATCGCTATGTAATAGGGAGTTTGAATAGCAGAATCTCCAGGATTTTACTGGAGATTTGTGCGGGTGTGTTGGGTAATGGTATAAGCTTATTTTCAAGGCCTTAGTAATTTGGGCTCTAATCTCTTTGGGGATTTCTTCACTAGTATTTTTGATTTGCAAGAATCCTCTTGTGTATTGAATGGCTTTGTAGATTTGTCTATGTGTTGTTTTGGAGAAGTTGATGTTGGAGAGGTATTGTGAGATGAGCATCTTCTTGAGCATAGAGTGGATAGTGTTGCGAGTTGTAGTGTTGGTAAGTGTAATCTTGTTGTCTTTTTTGTATATTGTAAGAGCAGTATTAAAGAGGTTTGTGTATTCTTTTTGGTGTGCCGAGGTGGTCCTGGGGTTACATGTAAAGGTGGTGAAGAATCTAGTATCTTGGTAAGTGAACTTAAGGGCAATTGCCTCTGGTAGCTTATGTTTCATATTGTGAGTAGTTAGCTTGTAGCTGATGAGGTCGTAGATGCCTTCTGGGATCTCGAGAGCTTTTGCAATTGCATCATATGACCAGAGGTTTGTGTCAAAGGGGGTGTTGATAGGTGTAGTAATCTTAAGATATACTTCTGAGGCCCATTCCATATCATCTTCTAGAGCATTGGTAGTAGAAGTTTGAGGTTGGTTTGAGTGATTTGGCTATAGGTAGATTTTGTAGTTATCTCTCTGTCTACTTGTATTCTAACTAGTGTAGATGTACTACCTACTATGGTCTTGGTAGCTTTGTTGGCAGTTGCATTGAGTGATGAAATATTGGCCAGATTTCTGGGCCTTTTGCAGGTTGAGCTAAGGTAAGATATAGCATCTGTAGGGGTAGAGTTGGAGGTAGGTATAGTGAGCACCAGTTGTGTGATTTGTTAGATGGGTGTGCTAGGTCTGGGTGTGGTGATCTTGGTAGTATTAGTGTTGGAGCTGTTTGGAGGATTGGTGTTAGGGGGTTTGTTTGTAGGTGGTACCACATTAGTGTCACTAGTGCCTGTGTCAGTGTTTGTATATTCTGTAATAGGATCTTGTGAGGAGTTGAGCTTTGTGAAAATTGCTGTGTAAGCTTGCTCATTATTGCTCTTGTTTGACTCATTATCTGAGTCCAGGTCTGTAATATAGTTGTATAGAATCCTGGGTAAGTTTGCGTTACTCTTAGCTTTTGTGTAGGGTTTCATGTTGCTTTCATAGGAATTAATTATTGTTATAAGGTCACTACTACGTGTAGATTTGGAACATTTGGTGCTAATGTTTACAGTGTTGTTTTTTTGTATTGTAAGGTTAAATAGGACTGATTGGGTGGGATCCTCGTGATTACAGATCCATTGAGATAGGTAGTTAGTCAGGTTTAGGATTTTTTCTGATTTGGTAATATTAACGAAGAAGACAAACATGTTGGCATGCTCTGGGATGGAGAAGCTAACAGTAAATGTGAGTTTTGACTAGTCTTTGGTAGTGATATTTAAAAAATTTTTTGTGTGTTCTGTGCCTGGGCTTGGGGTAAGCTAGCTATATCAGTGTTTTTAGGTTATGCAGTTTTCACAAGTCAGAAAAAATAATTATGAATAAAGGAGGAGCTTTCAGAAGCCATATTTTTGGTGAGGTTTAAAGGTTTATCGAGGTGTAAAACTTGTAGCTTCTCACTGTTTTTTTTTAGTGTATTGTCTGTAGCTTGTTTTTGGTTATTTGAAAACTGAGAGTGCATAGGACTGCTTTTGAGGGAGGGTTGAAAAACTGTTTTTTTGCTATTTAGCGTGTTTATTGCTAGTAGCTTATCTAAGAGAGGTCTTTTGGCAAAAATTGCACCTCTTTTAAGTTGTTCTTGGGGTGCTGGGTAATTTTACTTAGAAGTTGAACGTTAATAAATATTGGAGAAAATGTCACAGAAAAGTTTTTTCTTCTTGTTTCTAATTTGGTAAAGTGATCTATGGAAAGAGTTGCTTACAAAATTAATTTGTGTGTTATACTAATCTTTAAATTTAATTAGTTAATTTTTAAAATACAATATATAAGCATATTATAATATGTGAAGCTAATTAAGTTCTTTGATTTTTATTGTTTTTTATTAAAAAATTTAAATATTTTAAAACATTTGCTATCTCTAGTAGATAGATAAATAGGTTTAGATTCTATACTTTAACTAAAGCAAATAAATAGGTTTTGATATTATTTTAAATATATTATTTTGTTACACAACATTTATTACACAATAATATTTGTTGTACAAAGTTTTTTAAATGAGTGCGTGAGAGTAAAAACCTGTAACTTATTATAGTAAATCATTATATGCAGTTCCAGGTTTTTACTCTCACATACTCAAATATAACTTTATAAAAAAAAAACTTGTGCTTTAATAAAAAATTAAAAATAATTTAAAAAATAAAAAAGCTAATTATGTGATCAATTTTGATTAGTCAATTAGAGTCAATATAATGATAGATCTCATAAAATAATGCCCTTAACTTAATTACCATATGTTACCAAATAAAAGCAACCAAAATGTTGCAAAAAAAATAAGAATTTTTTTAAGCAAAAATGAAGGAGTTGCTTTTATTAAAGTACAATTTTATTAGTAGAACATAATAACTGTAGTCAAATTTTTGGCTCCAAAATCTGGGGGTTGCTTTTACAGTAATTAGTAATATGTGGCATTAAATTTATATACTATTTAATACAAATAAAAAATAGTTAACTTATTTAAATCAAGTAACTTATGTAGATTGTTTTAACAAGATGGTTCAAGTAATATTAAAATTTTAAAAATTTGATTACTTGGGTTTAAAATGTTTTTACTATATTAGTACATAATAGCACCCATGGGTGTTATTTTGACTAATGGCCCGAATTAAAACTTCTTTAGGCTGAAATTCAAAATTACACCCTGGGCATGTGCAAATACTGTATTGGAAATATTAAAAAAACGTGAATTACAGGCTTCTCTTGGCATCATTTAAATAGCTTTTGATCATGATTAAGTATTATTTGACTCGTCATAGGAGAATATATCGATATATGGGGGGGAGTCAGTAGAAATGGGATAAATTTATCTCCCATTTCTACTGACTCCCCATATATATGTGGTATAAACTTAATTCTGATTAATAATGTATAAATATACTATAATATCGATAAAAATTATAATATCTAGTGATTAAAATCACATGATTAAGTATTATTTGACTCGTCATAGGAGAATATATCGATATATAAACTTAATTCTGATTAATAGCGTATAAATACGTATACTATAATATCGATATAAAATTGGTCTAGTATAATTTTGATATTGGCTATACGTCAGCTAACTTAACGTGATGATCAAACCAGGTTTCACTAAAATATAACGCAGGTTTCACTCTTAATAATATATATATATCGTTATGTATATTACTGTATACCTCTGATTTACTTAATTGGTGTATCACCCAACTGTTGATTAAAAAGTCTAGGTTTCTAATAGTCTATTAGACTATGCTAAAACAGTTTATTACAGCCAACTATCTATATAACGGAAATCCCGGCTGAAAAAAAATTCCCTTTATATGGTTTTTTTTATTATTAATCCGTTATAAACATTATAAATTATTTATATATTAAAAATTTGGTTCATTGCAATTTTGTCCTTTAACTTGGTGCCGGTCTAAAGGTGTCCGTTATATCGGTACCATTTTTGCCGAGAAATTTTATAGTCTAAAAACATTAGTTTAGCCAATAAAAAGCTATCCGATAAATCGTTGGGCCGCCGGAACACTATTTCTAAATTAATATACACAAAACAAAATATTTGGACACGTTATCAATTATCAATAACATCTAAAAAAATTTTAAGAGAATATTTTGGCGTCTATACTTTAAAAAGATTTATATGTTTGTCAATACTTTTAAAATAATTGGCTAAATGCTAGAAAACAAATTTATAATAAGAAATGTTATCATAACATTATATATTTGATATAATTAATACAAAATGTTGATTATATAATTTTAGAACATATTATTGAAAATATCGAACAAAAAGATTGTATAAAACAAATTATAAACCAAATTATAAAACTAAGGTTAAATTCTAGATGAAAATCAAGTCACATTTATAAATTTTGATACAATCTTTTCTGTAATGTTTTCCATCTAACTAAACATGAATTTGGAGTACGACCTGGGAGGCCTTTAGCAATTCGTTTCCAAGAAGGACTAGGCATTTCTTCCAAAATACAATCAACCATATAACTATCTTCTTCAACTTTCCAAGCGGATTTCTTTTTCGTAGATTGACCACCTTTACCTTTTTTCTTCGTGGATGATTTCTTTTCCACTTCATCATAATCAGAGTCACCTACCCTACAATCATCATCATCATCCTGATCGTAACGAAGTTCATCTGATTCGATTTCATCTTCGAATTTGATGCTAGGTTTACGACCACGACCTCGCTTTGGTGAACTTTGACCTGATGTCGATGTTTGCTTACGTTTAGAAACGGTTGAACTCATTTTTCGAGTTGATGTTCGGGTCCTTTTGGTAGGCGGTTGTTCAACAGACTCGTCAGACTTATTTTCATCGTCATCATCATCATCGACTTCTTTGTCTTTTGTGGATTGCTCTTCACGTTTTCTTTTTTCCGTGGGAGTAGTAGGTGATTTTTCCTCGTTCTGAATTTATGAAAGTATACACGTATGTGTGTAGCAAGAGTTATTAAAGAATAAATCGACGAGAACTTTGTTGTTTTATTATCACAGTATCAAGTACCACAGTATCACTAGCATCATCATCGTTCATAATTTGTACTTCTTGAGTCATTTCAGGCTCTTCTGCTGGCGAAGGATCTACTTTCTTATCTTGTTCCTCCTGTAACTTGGAATCTTTTGCTTCTACATCTGAAGCCATTTGATACTATTCTTCAAAAAAAAAAAAAAAAATTATTTTTATGAAAAAGGCCAATAATTTACATTTTTGAAATAAATACGTACATATATTTATAGATATGATATAACGAAAGTGTAAATATAGTGTAAAGTTTATGATAAAACTTTAAGAGATAATTGTTGTGAAAGTGAAAAAGAAACTCATCGACAGAAATCTTCAAAAGTAACACTTTTAAACTTATGAACAAAAGCATTAATCAATTTTTTTACATCACTTTATTTCATGTCATTAAAAATAATTTTAAAAACTTTCGCGTCCCTTAACTTATTTGATTGGTATAATGATCAGTGAATGATAGAAAGACTAATATATATTTCATTGTTAGTCAATTGAAATAAAAATAGCTATCAAACAAATATCAAATATTTTACATTTACAAGACAGTGTAAAAATGAAATATGCGTGACGTTAGGTATTAAGTTTGAAGTCTATAAATGAGAATACACCATTCTATGAATACTCTCCTTTTAATTCACAATATATTTAAAACATAACTCGCATAGAAAATGTACAATACTATTATAATTACAAAAACATGCATTACTTTTAAATGTTCTAATTATTAGATCCTATAAGTAGAATAGTTCATTCCTCTAAAATCATTTCTAGGTAAGTTTCTGGTACACCCATTGCGACTCTATTACAAAATGCGAGTCCTTCGTCAAATGATCTAAACATTACCATAAAAACAGCTCCAGTACTTGCACAGAGTACTACACAGAAGAACACTGCATCCCCTATTAATACAAGTATTGGTATAAGAATGGATCCAGTTACTGTGGTAATAAATGATGTAAAGTCGTATCGTGCATTAATTCCGATATTACGTCTCCAAAGTAAATATTCAAATTTACAGACCATTGGAAGATATAGTAAGAGAAAAGTAACTATTGTTGTAGGAATAGTAATAAGAAAATATATTGGATAAATCAACATTGGAAAAAGAATAAAACTGCTCCAACTTAAATCTCTAGTTGGACCAGTATAACTCGTTATACTACGAACATGTTGAGGAACGAGAGAACTACAGTAATTCCATGTTGACGAAGAAAGGTCTAAAGCAGACCTGATAGGTTGAACGATGGGAGATTCTTCCGAATTTGCCCATTGGTCCTCATCCTGATTTATTTTTGAAATATTACGGTCATTATGACGTTGATAAGTATAATAAACCATCGCTGCAAACGGTGAAAACGTATGATATGGTTCACTTGGTTTACTCAGATGTTCTTTAACTGGGACAATAAGGGTAATCCAAATCGTGCAGCAAAACGAAACAAAGATCCCGGTGGGAAAGTATAATAATATTGGGATAGGTGAAAGTACGAAGAATATTAATTTAAGATTTGGCCCAATATATCTATTTGCAAAAAGTGTATAATAAAGATTTATAACATTATTAGGAAAGAACAAGATCAGGACAAAAATATTTGACAAGGAACATGCAAAAAAAACTGGCAAGAAATAAATTATAAAATCGACGAGAATCAAAAATGTGCTGAATGAAATACGGTAGATGGTACGACTTTTAACCATTTTTTTTTCTTTCTTTCGAATACATAATTTACATAAGTTTTTAATAATTTTATTTATATTACAATTCTGAATGTTTATGCATGTACCGAAATTTCAAACGCAATGAACCACTGCGTGACGAGCTTTAATTATGTACAACACATCAAACACCATAAACGATCACATGGCATAAATTGCAACAACCAAATATATTTTCGTTCGTGCAGGTACGAAACAAATAAATCGATCTACGACAGGGATGAAGTCAAAAATACATTATCATAATATATACTACTGTAATACTATTTACTATTAATGAGTCTTCCAAAAAGAAAATAGTAACAAACGTCATAGATTGGTGATCATGTTTTTATTAACTGGTGACAATTTTTTGGCGCCTAAATTATATCTAGTAATTTCTAGGCTATAAATGATAAATTTTATGACTCGGGTTCCGCATCTGATCAAAATTTAGGATTTACTGCTGTACTGCATAGTGATAGATAAAAATTGCTGATCATAGATGATTATTCAGTGAAAAGCTAAAATAATCAAGTCGCTATAGTATAAATTCAATCATATTCGTTGATACTTATTTGCTCTTTCTAAAACCTTAACGACCGTTGATCCATATTGGATAAAACGTTGAAATATAATAATAGAATAGCTATAATACCCGAAATGAACTCTTCTTGTATCTCATGAGAAACGTCATCGATAATCAAAGATCACTTCTGTATGCACATACTTCTGAGTAATGTTGAATCAATAAATCTGCAAGTAAATATTTGCGTTGTACAGTGTCGAGCATGAAACCTTAGTGGTTCACTAGAAGCAATAAATAATTTTTTACTATGTGGCCCAGATATTTTTTGGCATGTGCTTAATTGCTTACAAATCACGCGGTTTAATTTGAATAATAAGTAACGGTAATACTCTTTCCCCTGGTATTTAATTCATTATGATTGGTTCTGTGAATATCTTACCCCTACATAATTATTAGTAGCTCATTCACAAAAAAAAAATAAAAAAAAAAGGAATACCAACACAACATTCGTGTGGATTATTTACTCTATCTGAGTATCATTTTCTAAGGGGCGTTTAAAGCGAAGATAATTCATATAATTTAATATTTTCATATGTTTGTAAAATTCAAATTTAATGTACCGTATTTGCCGTAATAGTGGACTGGGCGTTAATTTGAAATTTTTAAAACCATACGCGTCCCGAAATAACGTGCGAATCGATCACGAGTGTATATTAATTGATCGGTTGTGTGATTTTATCGTATGATTTCGTATCGGTATTGGGGTGATAAATCAACTGAGTTAGCCAACTATAGAATTTGATGTATTGCAGATTTATGTTACACGAATATTTTTCTTACGTTATGGAATTACCTTGAAACTTTCACAAGTTGATTATAAAACATCTAAAAATAAAAGCTGTTTTAAGTTTGGGCATTCGCCTTACAGAAACATGCAAGTCAAAATTTAATTAGAATTTTTCAAAAAAAAACCATGATCAATATAGCTGACATAGTTTTGATTACTTAGTTGATTTATCAACGTAATGACTTAGGGAACTTCCACTTATTATGTAAATATAGTCCCCTAGAGTCAGTCGTTTGATACAATCATTTGACAATTACAAGCTCTAAAATAATCAACCGGGCTTGCTACATGTCCGGATCAAACATTGCCGGGAATTTCCTTGTATGGGTTAATTTATCCATTTTTGTTATACAAGTGGTACGTTTGGATATACGGCAAATATTTGTTCTATTGTTACAATTGATTGTTCTTGTAAATCGTAGTTTTGTCCATTTTTAGGCTTTCTTAGTTTTAATCGTTTCATGGTGAAGTCTCGTGGATCATGCTCAATCGAGCATATAAATTTTTGATTCCTAAGTAGGTCTATTAGGCCGTAATCATGGATTTTCTTTAATATTGGGTTTCCTTTTAATTTCTTTGAAATACTCATTCGGTCTCGCGGATCAAATAGTTCTAAATATTTGTAGCTGTAATATGTGTTTAATATCTTATTTATATGGTTTATTTTACTTTGTATTTGACTTTTCCCATTTTTCAATTGTTTTTTGTATTTTTCAAATTGGAGTATTTCTTGTCGTAATGTTGTTTCTACTTGTTTTGGATGCGCTAAGTATTCTTGATGCATCATGGTTGGTATTTGTTCTCTAATTTCTTCTTCGTCTACAAGGCTTTCTATTTCTTCAAAGCAATATTTTGCTTGTTCAGTATTAGTATATGCCTGTTCTAGATTTCTATATTCTTTTTCTTCACAATTTTCATAGTATCTGTGTATTTCGTTGAAAATAAAATCGAGTAGTTGTTTGATCATTGGTATCAATAGTAACTGTATTGCTTCATCATAAGAATACCATTTCCATTCTGATGCATTTTCGGGTTTGGTTTGTTTCAAAGTTGTTTCAATATTTACTGGGTGAATAAATACTGTTCTTCATATTTTATGGGTTGCTTTGTCTGGTGTGCAGTATTTTTCTGCTACCCATTCTTGTGAGCTTATTTTAAACTCGGTCCATACTTTAATTAGTTGCGTCTTATCTAATAGTAAATTTGATTCTTCTAAAGCTTCGCATATAGCTGTGACTTCTTCAGATTCACATGGTCTTCCTAATTCGTCTAAATCACCTTTTCTTCCCATTCCTTGGTAGTTTCCATAAAATACTTTAAGAAGGTTATTTCTTTGTGATAATGCTATTTGATATCCTTTTGAAGGATGGTATCTGAATACTGCTGTTTGAACTATATGTCAGATAGGCAGGTTGAGGTGATTGATTAATGCTTGTGCTATTAATTCTAAGTTTCTACATGTAAAGCAAGTATCGTAGTATATTTCTTGATTCCCATTGATTATTTCTCTATACTCTGTTATATTGTTAAAGTTATTGCAAGTTGTACATTTCCAAAGTATTCCATACTTTGGATCTTCAATTATTGGTAATTGTTCTATTTTCGTTTAGTTGTTTAATGGTATATTCTATTATTTCAATATACTCAAGTTCTTTTTTAGATTGTTCTATTTCTTGTTGTAGATCTTTAGATTTCTTTAGTTTGTATGCTTCAGTTTGTACTCGTCTTCTGTAGTCTTGGTCAGTTTGATTACACTAGTAGCAGTGTTGTAATTCTATTATACTATTAATCTTTTTAATTTTCTTTTCAAAGTATTCCTTTGCAAGATATCTTTTGCACTTGGGGCAACGTTTCTTTTTATTGTTTGTCTCTGAGATTGGTTTTGAGGGTGTATAATTTCGATAGTACTTTAGTCTGCACTCTTGGCAAGATTTGAGTTTTCTGTGATCTTTAACGAATTCTTCTAAAGGTTTTTCTCTAGAGCAAATGATACAACTAATTAAATAGTTATATGAAAATATTCCGTTATTGTTTATTATTTCTACAGATCTTTGTTGTTTTCGTTGTTCCAATTTAAGTTTACATTTATCGCAAGTTTTACTTATGCTTCCTGATTTATTTGGAATAGTATATGTTCCCTTGGGTGTTCTGTACTTTGTACACTTCTTGATATTCTTGTTGTGATGCTTCATATATTTCTTTATTGATTTGATCAATAATAGCTTGTCTTTCTCTTGTTATTTGTAGATTTGTTCGATATTGTTTAGAATTATGTCCTGAGTTTGCACTATTAGTTCTGCACTTGATGCAGGTTCGATATAGTATTCCTGTTTGTTTTTCTCCAAATACTTCCTTTAGTTTCTTAATTCTACACCTTGAGCACTTTATCTGTATAGGTTGGTTTCTAATATTTTCTTCTTTATTGCTTCTTTGAATTCGATATTCTTTCTGATATTCTGGTTTTTTAGCTCTCTTGTTTCTACAGTTTATACAAGTTCTGTTTATTCGTTTTTCTCGTTTAAAGTCTTCAGGGTAATTTCTATATTTTTGACAAGTTGAACAATATTGATATTGTAATTCTGATCCTGCTATTATTGGGTTATGGAATATGAAATTATGTTCCCGTTGTTGGTTTATTTTTTACTTCTTCTGGGTTTATCAATAATAATTCTTCTATTGCTTCTATTCGTATTTTATGTTCTTCTGCGTTATCTTCGTTGAATTGTTCAAATTTTGTAATTCTTTCTTGCCACACTTCAGGGACTGAATATTTGTATTCTTGCACGTATTGTGATTGTTTTTGTTCTTTAGCTAATACTTCTTTTTCTTCTGCTAAATCTTCAAGTATTAGTTGGTAGAGGCTTACAGCGATTCCTGATGTCTATGGTATAAATACTTGTTTGATGGTATTCTTGTATTAATTCAATAGCTTTTTCTTTTAGTGGTGTTTGACTGCTACTCTACTTATATCGTTTAGCTTTCTTTCTTAATTCTCTTTCTTAATTCTCTAACTTTTGACCAATTGATATTAGAGTTTCCGTGTCTTTTCCGATATATTAGTTTAAATGAGAGAAATAAGAGTATGAGTTTATATCGTTCTTTTTTGTCAGTTTTTGTAACGTCGTTTGGATTTGCTTGTAGTCTTTCTTTAATATCCATTTAGTGTTTCCTTGCTAATTTAATTAATTCTCTAATTTTACTTAATCCACTTTTGTAGGTTTCTTTAATCTATTTAATGTTTTCTTTTAGCTGTTCTTCAATAAATTT